GTGAATTTCAAAGGTGTGATCCATGAGTTGGGACTCTTCATTAGTGCACACTCATGACCATCAAATTACGATGCCAAGCTGGTTACATCCAGCACTTCTAACAGGTCACTCATGCAGTTACTAAATGGTCTTAGTACTGCTTAACTTCGGCGATAGGATAAGAACCAATGTTTTCAACTTGGTATAATTGAAGTACTCTCACTGTGTTCTCACTTTGTTTCTGCATCTGTTTAACTGAAATCTAGGGAATGCTGAATGTCCGTTTCGGCCTAGTTTGAGATTCTTCGACAGCAGGCACTTGTGATCCTACAAGGCAACGATCCCAGGATTTTTAGCTTACGGGAATGTTATCATTCACCCATTTTATCATAATTCAAAGGCTAATGAATTTTACGTGTTTTTATTTCACAGTTATCATTACAGCGGCATTGTCAATCCATACCATCGGGGAGTATCTGTTCTGATAACCAAAACAGTGGACTTCCAATTGAATATGACTTGTGATTTTGATTTTCAGGAATTCTATTCCGTAGTTAATTAACAGAGTGAAGGGTGTATTAATTTTTCCAAGTATTGCGTATTGGGGAAGTTTGATTAAAAGTTTCAATTTTAACAGAATAAATTCTAGCGTATCATGAACTTAAGTGACAAATTTAAGTTATTTTGTAGTAATACTTATGTCAATATTAAAGTAACTCAATGATGAGTATATTGTATGACCTCTTTACATATTTCTTACAATAAAGACGAAATATAGAATTATATTTAATATTCTAATTTAATGCAATAGATAATGTTTGAATATGAAGTGTAGATCTGGGTCGCATGCAGGATTCGAACCATCAGCTTCTGAATTATTAGTCGAACGATCTACCAACTGGAGCTACGAGACTTAATTGCGTTAATCAAGTCGTTATTCAACTGAAATCATCATGTATAATGCCTAACTGTCCATCTAGGTCTTCTTTTGTCATTCTTAATCATACTTAATTAGAAGGATAGTACCATATTACTGATTCACGGTGAAACCATCCAGAATAGTTTTCAGGTTGGTATATTCCTATCATGATTTATATTCATACATTTATTGACTTTGAAAATAATTATGTAACAGTTTGTGTAGAACAAAATATCCAGATGTACCTGTGAATAGATTCTTCCTTTTATTCCTTCACGTTCCCAGTGGAACATAGGGCTTCAAGCTAGAGGCTTGAAGTTTCTGTAGCAGTGGTGTTTATTTTTACAGGATGGGGTTACTAGCCTCATGTCCAACCTTTCTTCTTTACCAGCTTTATTACTGGCACAGCGAGGTTGTAAAGGAGTGCATCGGTGGCCAGGGATCGAACCCCGGACCATGTCCAGAGTCGGCGAGCGTCCTAACCGCTGTGCCACCGACACTCGTGAATAGATTAGAGGTAGAAATAACAAGTGAAGTCAGTTACTTAACATAACTAATAAATATTGGAGAAGTTAGCATTGAATATCTTGTCTAGAAGCATAACTAACATCTCTACAATCGAAATACTTCAAGACACTTGAATACTACAACTCTAATTAAATGTAACTCTGTCTATAACTGTTTCTATTCAGCTAGATAAAATAAATTCAAAGATTTTAGTCTACTATTTCGTATACTCATGAATTTACTATTCTCCAGGAGTTCAGAAGTAGAGTGCTCACCAGTTATGCATTTGATTCAGAGTCTGGTTACAAGCTGACGCACTCCGTAACCTTGCTTAGTTTATGAGTGAGTAGAAAGACTAGAAAAGATGGAAGGTTGTTTGTGAGACATATAAAACAACAATAACAACGACAAACCGCCGCTACTAAGACTTCAAAAAATAGCTTGAACCCTTATGTTTCACTTGAAATGCAAAAAGAATAAAGAAAAAGCCCATTCAATGAAGCTACATAACAAATAAAAGAACTTGATGAACTGACATCAGCTTCAGTATAAAGTGAAATAGGAAAATAGGATAATGATGAAAATGAAATAGGCTTCAGCCTTAATATTAACACGGTTCTATTCATCAAACATTCAGTTAACAGAAATTTCTAAGCAATCTTTGAGTAATTAAACAATATTACTAATCGAATTTTTACAATGTTACTTCTCACTCGGCGCCAAATATTTAGACTATTCTGTCAATCTTGACGACAGTTCATTGAATCTCAAATACACCTTATGCATAATATACCTTGTGACCTAAACCGTTCACTTGTGACTTATTGACTTAAGTGTTCAACTTTCAGTCAAGGAATGTTGAGGTTCAAATCCCATTCACACTTACTTCACACAAGAACAACTTGGAAGTCCTTACAGAATAAATGTGGCTCATAGTCCCATACGTGTATTTTTTGTGTGTTGAAGTTTCTCTAGTGGTTTGACAGCGGTTTAGTGGTGGGCAATCGTGTTCCAAGCTGAAGAGGACGGCAGAAGATAGGACAAAATGGAGATGCGTTGCTGAAGCCCTATGTTCCACTCAGAACTCAAGGGACTAATAATAATAATAATAACAGTCCCATAAATGTTCCGAAAAATTGAATTCTAAGCTACTAACGAACTAAATAACTGACTAAAATATTTTCTTTTAAACTATGTACACTATTTTATTTACGATAACTACATATTTCAATATAACAAGAAAGTTTCCCCTTTCAAAATAGATCCTTGTCTGCAACTTCATTCTAACATTATTTTATTTTATTTTATTACAGCTTGATTCCACAGAGAATTTTTTTTGGTACAACTATGGAATTTACAGCATGTGATATCAGTAGCCCAAATTTAGTAGGCCGACCATTGATATCAAATGTGCGTCGGCCAGGGATCGAATCCCGGACCATGTACATGGTCGGCGAGCGTCCTAACCGCTGTAACACCAACGTAATTTAGATTGTCTTTTATGAACTAATAACATCAGTTAGAGAGTCATGGTAGAAGTCAAGAACTTGCGGATAGTTGTAGTGTGTGTGTGTATATGTGACTACAGTTGAAGAGTTCCATAGTATAATGGAACTGATGTCCAGTGTGCTCCCTGACTTTCTGTAAGTGATGTATGTTAGTAACGAAATCTACACTGAAATTACGAATACGAGTTAATTATTGATGAAACTATGTGAGACATGTGTGCCATGAATTACTAGTCTTATAATGAAAACTCAGGTTCATGACAAAATTTATTATCACCAATCTCTGGATAACTAATTCGATGTTCCATCATTGAATATATTTATTTGATAAAAGTACACAATGTTACATCACTATTTACTGATGATGTTTCAAGCAATAAGGATAGAGTCTACACCTAACACATGCAATAGGAATGACCCAACACCGATACCATACATATAGAAAATATTATTACCAACAAAACAAAGGATAAGAAATAATAGAATTATGTGAACAAAGTTCAGTGTGCTCCGGTGGCACACCGGTAGAATGCTCACCAACCACGCATGTGGTCCGGGGTTCAATCCCTGGCCACCGACGCACTCCTCTATCTCTCTAAGCCAGTAATAAGACTGTTAAAGAGGGAAGTTTGGGCATGAGGCTAGCAACCCCATCCCGTAAAAATTAACACCACTGCTACAGAAACTTTAGACCTTTAGCTGGAAGCCACTGGGAACGTAAAGGAATAAAAGAAAATAAATAAATAAATGAATAAAGTTTGAAAGTTATGTGAGTGCCTTGATATAGATTATGAGCAATAAATAGTGCTTGGAAGGTCATCCGTAAATGGTACTGTATAATACTGTGTGATTTCATCAAGTAAATTTATCCTATAATTGAATTATACTCTGCCACAGTGGCCAAGTTCTATTCCTCTACTAACTTGATGGTCTTCTAGACGACCTACAAGATCCATCATTTCATTGTAATCACAAGGTGTTCTAGTTAGTTATCATATCGGATACATGATAAACGGCTGTCCTTTTTGACATTGTCATCAAAACCATCATTATACTAACTTCTTAGCTAAATTCTCAAACATGAGTTACTCAAATCAGTAAAATCGATTTAAACTGCTTTTAAAAAATAAATAATAGAAGTCATTTGATAGGTAGTCATACATCTGTGTTTGACACTTCTTAGCTAGTACTCATCAATATTGTGACTGTAGATCTACAGCTATCTGTTAATTAACTCTTAAGAACCAAAAGCAACGCTACAGTGTACCACTATTTTATGTAACCCAGCCTAGTAATTACTTAAAATATTATATTAATTGTCGCTTCGATAAAATGTATCCATGTATACAAAGCTATAAGCCAGTTATCTGGCTGATGATAACCAGCTATGGTGGAATCCCAAAGGGGCATGTTTCGTACTATCTAAGGACTCGTCATTTTGATGTACCCATTCCCCAAAGACAAGTCAGAATATAACACGTCTTAGATTATTGAATTAGAGGTGAACAGAACTTTCCCTACCTATGCTTCATGAAGAATAACAATGAAAGCATAAGCATTAATGATTTGATATTACTGATCGTCTATTGTTGTCCCCTTATATTCTTCGAGTAAATTAGTAATCTACATAACTAATCTATCTTTAATATTATTAATAATACATTTTAATAAGATAGATCTTATAAAGTTATGTTTAGTCTTAGATCCCTGGAAATAAGCTGCCTACCTACCGATGCCAATTAACAATATATGTTGAGTACCTTCTCTAATATCCAAATCTACACCACTTAGAAGTGCAGCCAGGGTCAGGGTCACGAATTACCTACTATACAGTTTTCCTTTTTGTAGTGAATAAGAGAATACGGTCAAAGGAATACCGCAAGCCAAAGAAACTAATCACTCATATTTTCCTCATTCTATAGGGTTTCGGGCTTTGAAGTTTCAGTAGCACTGGTGCTGTTTTTTACGAGGGTGGGACCGCGGAGACTGTTGGCATAATTGACAAGCATTCCACTAGTGAAGTACAGATACACAATCATTCTTACAGTTTATTAAACTATAATAATAATAATAATGATAATACTTACTTTTCTTAATTCACTCATGGCTGTTAACGAATTCATATTCATTATATGATTATTTGATAGTTTATGAAATTTCTTCTCCATATTTGGTAATTGTAATTGTCTTATTCCATGTTGAACATAATGTTCAGCTAGTTTTGTTGAATCACTGCCTATATAATCACAGAATAAACATTGATGTTTAATAGAATTTAAAAAGTGATAATCATTGAGTTTTTGTGTATTCAACAGACGTGATTGATGAAGATATTGATGATGATGTTGATGAGGATGTGATTTCGACTTTGTAATGGCATCATCAGATAATGCTGGAATAGAAGACTGTGAAGATGCGCTGACAGAGGAGGGAGTTATTGTTGCCCCTGAGGATGAGGAGGTGGATGATAGTGTCGAATGACTACCGCATAATTTGCCTACAAATAAAATTTTTATATATGCTGATTTCGGTGTTTTAGTATCGTTTACAAGTGGTTCTTCAGTTATCTTTTCGCTGTTTATTGTATCATTTATAGGGATATTGATATTGTTCGATTCACTATTCTCCTCATTGTCATCGCCATTATCAACAGCATTGTCTTCTTGATTGACACTATCCTTTTCATCGTTAGTAGAACTGACATCAGTTGGTTTTTCGTCTTTATTAGGACTAGAAACATGATCATTGTTGACGTTAGTACCACTATTTATACTACTGCTCTCCTCGTTAGTGTTAGTGGTAGTATTAGTAGTAGTAGTATCTGTAGTGCCAACAGTATCTTCATTATTTATATTATCCAAAATTGTCTCTGAATCTTTCGCGACAATACAATCTGATGATTGAGTATCTTTCGGTGATTGTGTTCTACACAGTTGTAAAGATGATTTGACACATTTTTTATGACGTATATCAATATGTTCATGTAGGAATGCTTTACATGATGCAATTTTTCGACATACTGAACATTGATAAAGCATAAAATCCACATTTTCATTTGAATGTTCATGATTAAAATGTACTTCTAGCTGATTCAGCCAATGTGTATGAAAATAGCATAATGGACAGTGTAGAACTAAGACATCAGAGGCATCAAGTAATGGTAGAAGACCCATAGCTTTAATTGATTTTTTTATTTCTTCTTTCTTCCTTCAATTGATGAAGTAATTAATTTGAAAATATGTATATATGTTTATTCAATGTTGCAATCTATGAGATGACAGAAATGTACGTTGTATTATTATTAATATTATTATTATTAATAATGATAAAATCGGAGAATAATTTTGTTAACTCTTCTACACTGTATAACACGCATTTCATCCGTTTTCTAAATCAATGAAATTAAAAATGGGTGGACTACAAATTTCATGTTTCCTTGATATTGGCATTCTGACGACGTGTCAAATCGCGTCAGAAGCTACACATATGCCTATAAGTCTATAGGGGGTGAGAGAGATAAAAATCCACCAGTGTAGAGAGTATAAAATATAAAATACTTTGACGCACTACTAATTCTACTACTATTACTGCTATTTACTGCATATCGCACATGTGTGAAATTTCAATGGGGGTGATATGACTTGTCCACCTATACACATGTATGTGTGTGTGTGCGCGCTCACTGCCCTAGCATTGAATGCTACATTGCTGTCACCCTGTCGATCAAACCTGCCTTACTCCGATTGGCAATCTACAACTGTCACATGACACATGCGGCAGCTCATATTGTCATTCGACGAGATTGGTGCGTTCGTATGTGTAGGCATGCCATGTATAGCAATAAATGCGTGTGGGTGGGCTTGTAGACAATTTTGAAAATTTTTAGGGGGGCGGAGGTGTGAGCGTGTGTCGTTTATCGCAGATAAAGTCATGACATATCATTGAAAGTGTATATGTATACATATATAAATGTATACACTACAGGGGGCAGACAGATTAGTGGTTAGTTGTCACACACTGTGATTCAATGAAGCAAATTAATCACTCACTACCACTAGTACGACTGCTTCTACACTTACTACACTACTAAATAATTTAAGGGGATATTTTCATTTTAAGGTCTAGAAAAAAAGTTAAGGTAAGGGATTTGTATATTTTGAAAAGGGTTGACAATGAAAAATCTTAAGTGTTCCTTCCTCTAATCAAGGGAGTGTAGACAGGGCAGGATACAAAATTGTGATTATTTCAATGTGTATAGATTTTTTCTTTGCTTTATTCATGCATATGTGAATATGCTGAAAAAGGATGTGTCTTTCCCAAATTGTTTTTATACATATTCAGAAATGTATGCAAACAATTTTAACTGAATATTTCTCATATCCACCCACATGTAATCAGAGAAACTATGACAACATATAAGTGAGTATATAAACTAGTCGTTTGTATACAGAGAACAAATGATATTAATAGGGGATTTTACTGACCTAAGTCGCTAGTCCAATCTGCAATATATTATATATATATACCTTTGCATGAGACGTCGTCTGTGAATTATTTCATCCTGATCCAAGTTTCGGTCTAACCAGTGGTTTATTTTCAGGAAGGCAGTGAATGGTGAATTTAAGTAGGAGAATGGCGAGAAGTCACCCTTGTAGGATGGATTTATTTGATTAGGCAGAATTACCGGTTCTGATTACGTAACAAGACACTCGTTCGAGCTCATATACATGAAAATACCAATTGTATCGTAATAAAAACAGACTAATCTGATGTAAGTGTGTGCGTATGTGGTTTAATGGTAAAGTGTTCTCCAATGATTCACGTCGTCCGGGTTCCATTCCTTGTGGAGACACACTCTTGAATCACGCTTAGCTGATAGTAACCCGGTAAAGAAGAGGGTAACGCTGATCGTTAGGCTAGTAACCCCACCCTTCAAATAGCAACACCATAGCTACTGAAACATCAAAGCTCAAACTTGAAGGCATATGTTTCACTCGGAAGGCAAAAGGAATTTTTCAGAAAATCCTCATATACTTGTTCCACTTTAAGAATTTGAATAACGCAAGAACAACGGTTTGCGTAGAATAAGATGATATCATACATTTATTCCCCTTAATGAATTTGAACAAAGCCAGAACTACAGTTTTAGCAGAATAAAATGGTACCATCTTTTATTTCGTTGCCTTCTCGTCAGCTGCTTACAGGTCAAAGACATCATTAAATGTATCTACAAAAACAATTTTAACATACTTGCACAGAGTTCATTTTAAACAAAAATCAATCGATCAATATACGCATACACTAATAATATATATATATGCAATATTAAACACTATTCCGAACAATAATAATCATACACAATGGAAACTTTTCAGCATTTCGCATTCGGATGAAAGAGATGAAAAATATCCAGTTACCAGGGCAAAGAAAGACTGATAACCGCTTCTTTCTGGACGCATAAATCAGGTTTCAGGCGCTTGATGGAGATGGCTTCAGCAAACTTAAGGAGAATTGAGCTCTTTTGCCTATTGATAATTTTGAACGACTTTTCGACGTCCACCTCATGACCCGTGTCGAGGAGATGCCTGGCGATGGCACTGTTTAAAGCATTTGTTCCCTTTAGACATAAGCTTTTTGGTACATGTTCAGAAATCTGATATGCCCTTCTTTCTGTTCTTCCAATGTAACTGCTCCCGCAGATACATGTAAATTTGTATATACAGTTGGAGTTAACATGAGAAGGATATCTATGGATTTTTGATTACATCATATATTGCATATATATATGTATATATTATTAGTGTATGCGTATATTGATCGATTGATTTTTGTTTAAAATGAACTCTGTGCAAGTATGTTAAAATTGTTTTTGTAGATACATTTAATGATGTCTTTGCCCTGTAAGCAGCTGACGAGAAGGCAACGAAATAAAAGATGGTACCATTTTATTCTGCTAAAACTGTAGCTCTTGCTTTGTTCAAAATGATATCATTATTTATTTCGTTGGCTTCTCATCAGCTGCATACAGCCTAAGGAAATTATCAATTTATGTATAGAGTAATTTTAGTGTCAGTTGACAGGAGACTCCAAACTTAATAAATAGTGCTCAGAAATTAAACCTATATAGTTTATATCCGGAAAGGTCAAGTTTAAACAAAAAATAAAGGTTTGGTTACATTGGCGAAAGAATTACGTAATGAATGTAAGAGGTGAATAAGATGATGAGTAACTAATGAACTAAATAACAATGTGGTGAATTCAACTCAAATCAAAGAAACAAGAGACAAGCAAAGTTGCATTATAGCGGAAGGGGGAGAGGTTAGAGCCAAAGATTACGGAAGCAAATGATTGAGACAGACAGAACAAAGACATCCAGTTATCAGAGTAAGGAAAGACTAATAACTACTCATAAATCGGGTTTAAATCGTTTAATAGCGATTGCTTCGATAACCTTCAAAAGAACTGGTAATGTCTATCGATATTTTAAAGGATTTCATGATGTCCATCTGATGACCAGTGTCGACGAGACATCTAGCAACGGCACTCTTTTAAACGTTTGTTCCTTTGAGGCGTAGGCTTTTTGGTACATGTTCAAAAAATCGAAGGTTTGCCATTCTTTCTGTTCTCCCAAGATAACTACTACCTCAGATACATTTAAATTTCTCTACACAGTTAGAGTTGTTAACACGAGAAGGGGATCTGTCGATCTTTGATTGTACCAAAGAACATGTTACCCGATAAACATGAACCAACTTAGCTGCAGGATAGGTTCTGGCCACTAAGGTATTCGACCCTCTGTTAACTAATTCCTAACCCTTTGTCTTCACATTTGAACCTTTACATTTTCAAGAAGTAATATACAAATTCATGATATAGTTTCTGAGATAGTAGGCTGTTGTTTCTTTTAACACAGAGCACTGGTGTTTGAGGAATTGCAATAGCTTGTTGATACGTCTGCTTGTACTGATTGCACCAGATGTCTAATATCGAGCTGTTAATAGTTTAACTACACTTTACTTAGCCATAGTCGGTATGTTCTCGAGCCGAAAAATCAAGTTCCTAGAGCAACGCCCAATTTTCCTTGCTGGTTAATGAATTTCTGATCGATATTAGGTAGACCTCATTTTACAAAACACATTCAATGCGTTTATCATGATTACTTGTCAAGAAGTATTACATAATTTATGACAAAGTTATTAATGCAGACTGACTAAGATTCTAGGACTTTTTTTTGATTTTTTCCATTCAAAAGATCTAATTGAATTGGAAACCTCTATGTATCTAGGGGTGGGTAGGGTTAAGATGTTGAGGCGACTATAAAAGCATCTGTGTAATCCTGATTTTGAACGAACAGGTTAGGTTGGTTGACTGATTAATTTATAGCCTAAGCTAACTTTCATTTGATCAAAGCTCCATTAATAATAATAATAATAATAATAATAATAATAATAATAATAATAATGGAATGATACTTTGATTACCTAGTAGACAGACTTCAGGCATGTATAGCTTTCATCATTATACCCTTTAATTTTTGTCAAATAAATAATTACATATTCACACCTGAATTTTATATATAACTTTGATAGGTATATATATTTCATTTGTTGCCATGGCGATTCTTAGAGAAATGGAGAAAAATTTTATTACTTAGACATTTTAACACATGATTAAATATACTCACATGCAGGTTGACAGGGACAACCTTGTGAATTGGGGATGTCAACTAGCCGGTGATCATTCAACCAGACATAAAAATAAAAGTGTCATCTAAGCAATTATTATTGTTATTATTAGTCAGTCTGGAAGATGTCAAGCATTATGAAACATTGTGAATGAAAGTGTAAGGATATGAATAGAATTATTTTTATGTAATGTGTTCACATCTCGAAAACAATCTAGAATTTCAAGTTTGACCATGGATTGGCATGGATTAGTAAGAGAAGCATTGAAAACCAGTTCTGGATAGCTGTTTCGTCCCAATTTGGGACTCACTAGCAGTGTAAACCCACTGGGATTCGAACCTAGGACTTTCCAGTTACAAGTTAAACTCGTAGACCACTCAGTCACCATGGATTCCAAATTCTGCCAGTTAGTGATTTTATCGCGACCTCCAACCAATGTAATTAGCGAGTATCTGTCCTCACACCCAACCTGGTGGACCCCATCGGTCAAGAACTCCAGGCAATTTCGTCCTGTAGACAGCCGAAAGCTCTTGCCTTCGAACCCTGGAGGGTGCGTACTACCGATTAGTCCCAAACTTGGACGAAACAGCTGTCCAGTACTCCGGTGGTGGTTTTCAGTGTTTCTCTAACTGATATCAATCCGTGGGAAAAATTGAAAGCAATCAAATCCCTACAAACTAACTCTTGAAAATCTAGAATTTGTCGATGGTTCAACTATCTGAGGTAACCCCTGTGAACCATCAGATCTCAAGTGAGTGAAGTAGAAATCTGATTCAAAACACAGTGACCACTGATTACTAGCCCATCGTTCTACTACCTAAGTTATGAGACCCAAATGCAGTGATGATTACTTAGTTGACAGATGGAGGAAAGCAGTTGTTGTGATAT